GAGGTGCGGCCTCGGCCACAGCGGAACCCCCAGCCCCCGCAACAGCAGCAGCCTCAGCAGCAGCAGCAGAGGTATTAAAGCTCATCAACATGATAATGTGAACATACACATGCTTTGAGTGTGAGCCCTTTTGATCTGCCCTGCCGATAAAACCCCTTATCGGCCTCGAACATCCACTTCCATTTTAGGATTTGACATTAATTCAATCCGCTCTTTTTTATATACCTCTCTTCTTCTTCTTTCTTTTCTTTTTTTTTTTCTTCTCCCACCACCATCCCTGGAGAAAGAGTGGGGTCGGTCCGAGAATCTCATTATGGGACTATACACCGCCGAATAATATTTTTACTTTATAACAGATCAAGTCTGAACGTTTTTTATAATAAAGATCAGGCGGGAAAAAAAGATGATCTCAATTAAACAGAAGATCAACCCGTTTATTATTATTATTATTATTATTATTATTATTATTATTTATTATTATTATTATTTTTATTATTATTATTATTACGGGGATTTTCTTTCGGTTTAAAAAAAAAAACAGCAGCGAAAACCACGGGGTCCAGGAAAAGACAAATCCATCACGGGCTCCGTCTTGGGTTGCCACTGATTATAAGCCATCCCGGGGTAATTTTTCACCGGTGCTGGGCTAATCTTTGTTCTTTGTGAAGATAATAAATAGCCTAATCGTTATCAGCGAGCTGCTGGAGGTGTCGCGGAGAATGGGGCCCATCGGCCCCGGGAAATGGGCTCCAAAGTGCCGCAGAATAAATGCCATTCCTTATCTCTCTCTGCCAGATTATCGGCCGCCTTTTCAACACCCAACACAACAAATACATCTAATGCAGGGGATGCATCATTTGCCGGAGCAGATCTGTGAGGATGATTGATAGATTGATAGATAGATAGCGTCTGTGTGTGTGTCTGTGTGTGTGTGTGTGTGTGTGGGCTGTTATTTACAAGTTTAATGTTGTGCTGGTGCCCATGTGGTCTTTATTCTTTGTATTTTGGCAGAATTAAACCTCTCTCTCTCTCTCTCCCTCCCTCCCTCTCTCTCTCACTCTCTCCCTCCGTCGTTTTCTTTTTTTTTTTTTTTTCCTCCTTTTTTGTGGATATATCTGCAGGAGCCATCAGAGGTTCCGGTTCTTTGTCGGTGTCTCATGTCTTTCATGTTGGGATTTTGCAGGATAACAGTTGAACAGACTCCGCCGCCACTCGCGGATCTAAATAATGTTTTTCATGAGCTGAACATTTTTTTTTTTTTTTTGCAAATGCGAGAAATAAGCCGAGGAAGTCGCCCTGAGATGGAGTGGTGAAACAAAGGCCCGGCTGAGTTGATAATCACCGTTGGAAAATTAATCCTAAAAACACACAGTGTGTGTCATTCAGGCTGTGGTTTCACCATGGAGGGGAAAAAAATCACAGAAAGTCACATTAATTATTATTATTGTTATTATTGTGGGAGCAGGTCTCAGAGTAGGAACGTTATAGACAGAATATTTATACATATATATATATATATATATAATTTACTCACTTAAAACATTGGTTCTTTACCGATTTTTCTTTATTTAAACTAAGTGGTGTTTTAAAATACACTAAGGCTACAACAAATGCAAGGTTGACAAATCTGTAATACATTATATATATAATGTATATATATTTCTATATATAAATATAAATAAATCCATATTTCGCTTTTCATCAACACAATTGAAAAAATGCGAAAAAAAAACCCAAAATAAATCCGATTATGGACAGGATTATGGTGGAATATTTTTCACTGTATGATGATCAAATCTTAAAACATACAATACTTTTGTTGCAGAATTAAACAATTATACACATCTTAATAGAAATGTAATTATTTAATCATTTTAATCTCTTTCTTATTTGTTTTTAAACGTGTTCCTCACTCTGTATAAACTGATTAAATCATTCAAATACATTGAAATATTGTTATAAAAAATTACTATTAAAGTTTCAGCCCAGAGGCCTGTTTTTTTCTCTTTATTCGTATTTAACTTTTATTTCACCAAGTGAAATTTAAAAAAAAATGAAGCTGAAATACAGTATAAACAGTGTGACTCTAAGACAGGAAAGGGTTAATTTCCACTCTGACAAAAAAAAAAAACCCATAAAAATAGAAAAATCAGCATTTTTCATTTTTCTAACCGGTCAGAGTGGAAAACCTTCAAATAATAATTTTTAAAAAATCACATAATTCTGCCTCTCATTATGAATCTTTTAGGAAAAAAATTAACATTTTAAAGAATCATTGAATTAAAGATTTTTTCTTTAACAGTAGTACTATCAAACCTTAGTACTGACAACTGCAGTAATACTCCAAACTACACCAACGACATTTAAATCTACTCTGTATCCACTGACGGGAGCCTTTTCCACTTGAGTGTCTTTGACTCGAGTGGATTGGACTGCGGTCCAGTCCATTCATACCCAGTGTTTTCATCAGAACCGTTTTATTGTTGTGTTTTTGTTGTGTGTTTTTTTGTTGTTGTTTTTTTTTTACAAACATCTCCTGAAAGCAAAGTGGAAGAGGAAATCTTCCACTCAAAGCTCCACGTCCGAGGCACAACGATGTGATTTGAAAATCCAAAAAAAAAAAAAAAATCAGATAAATTCAACACTGGACTAAAAGAAATCTTTTTCTTCTTCTTCTTCTTCTTTTTTTGTGCAGGACAAAAGCTACATTTCCCTGACTGTGTCCCATTGGCACAGAGAAGAAAGAGTCATAATGACAGTGAAGTGAAGGCATTGTGCGTGAGTATGTGCACGAGGGGCGAGCAGCAGTGGCAGAAAAGGTTTTTTTTTTTTTTTTTTTTTCTCCTCTTCTCCAGCATATACAAACTGGATTGTTAATAACTTGGCAGCGGCGGCAGCCCTGGGTGCTGCTGATGGTCTCCAGGGTAACGCAGATAACAGCGCAGCCATTTTCCATATCTTACAGTCTATTATATTCAAGGATTAGTTCTCCTTCCCGAAAAGGTCAAACATAAAGTCAAGCCAGCCAGGAGTATTTCTCCTCCTCCTCCTCCCCCACTTTTTTTTCCTCACCTCCTCCCCTCTCCCCCTCCTCCTCCTCCTCCCCCTTTTTTTTTCCTCACCCCCCTCTCCTCCCATCCACCCTCTCTGCAGTGACGGAGCATTTCCCACTTTTTCATATTAAAGCTGTGATTGAGTTTTCATGAGCCTGTGATATTTGTGCCCCCCCCCCCTCCTCCTCCCCCTCCCCGCCCCCACAGCAGAACAAAGGAGATCCCCGAATGTACTCCAGTGTTCGACTCCAGCACCGATCGTTTCCTCTGGTCTTATCTCCTGTGTACAGTTCACACTGTAGCATGATTTTTTTTTTTATGTCATCTTCAGCCAAAACCTGAGCTCCTTCAACATTCTTATTTAGTTTCATCACTGTGGACTTCAGACACATGAGTCAAATGTCTGTGTTGAGATGGTTGACACTGGTCCTTGAAGCGTTTGAGGGACTTCCTGGTCCATCATTGGTCCACATACAGAAACAAACAAAAAATATTTTATTTATTTTGACTGCGGTCAGTTTAAAGTGTCCACTTAACCAAATCCCAAGGACTGCTTTTTTTTTTGCTGTAAGGCAAAGGCAAATGTCACACTCAAAAAATCCCACTGGTGACGTATTGTTAAAATGATTCTGTATTCACTTTCTGACAGGAATTCATTCATATAATCCTACAACAGTGCACTGTTATTATCCAGACTGATGTAAATGCACTCATTCACACAGTACGATGCAGTTATTGATGCACTAATATCGTAGTGATCATTAAAGTCACATCGTGTCTCAAACCTTTGGTGTCGTAAAAATGTAAGAATCCTGAAGTTCAAATGACTGAAAGTTGAACTAATCCTCCAGAAACACGGATTTATGATAATCAAACTCCACACTTGGGACACTAGTATTCAAAGATGGTCCCGTAAGTAATAAATAATAATAATAATGACGTCATAAAACATTTTATGTTAATCCTTCATTTAGAAGACTAAATGTCATCTATAATCTGTCTGCGCGTATTTTATCACTATTTTATCACTTTTTCATCACGTAAACTTTAAACGTATGAGGTGAGACAGTGATAGGGCAACAATGAAACGCTGAACATTGATCATATGTTTCATTTTTTACGTTGTGTTTTATGATTTACGTCACTTTAAGTGCTCTGTGTTTTCGTGTATTCTTAGCATTTTCTCTTTAACAAAAAAAAAAAAAAAAGTCGGTTAATTGATTGAAGATGTAAATCCTTTCAGGTCCGTGTCGTAAAACATGTAAGAAAATCAGGTCAACAGCGACACCTATTGGTGAGAGAAAAATAATACGGATCATTTCTTAAAAAGTACTTATCCTCAAAATATTCTCGGTCTTGTATTGGAGATCATTTATATTTTTAACACAGTTTCTTTAAGATCGTTTTTTTCAGTCTAATTTTCTTCAGAACTGGTGCTTGACTGTTGTTGTTGTTGTTGTTGTTGTTGTTGTTGTTGTTGTTGTTGTTGTTGTTGTTGTTGTCCAGCTAAAGGTCCGATTCAATATCGTTATGGCTAAATGGAGCCATAACTTCACCATAGTTTTAGGTTTTGATGTTGAAATTAACATTTATTTTTAATAATATCTATTTAATTCATAAGAACATTGATTAGAAAATGAGTTCACGGCTGAAAAAAAAAAAACAACAACAACTTGCCCTAATAATTAGTAACCGAGCCATTTGGTTCAGTGAGTCAAGAACTACACGTCTTTGTGTAAAATAGGAAAGGAGAGCCATGTCACCCAAAGAACACAGTCCCCGATTCTTAACTATACCCAAGTTAGTCATTTGGTTCAGTGAGTCAAGAACTACATGTCTTTGTGTAAAATAGGAAAGGAGAGGCACGTCACCCAAAGAACACAGTCCCCGATCCTTAACTATAACCAAGTTAGCAGTTGTTGCTAATGCTACAAAATCTGAAAGAATAATAATTTCTGCCTGACTGTCATGGAGGACGACGGGTGAATTACTCGGTGTATTCTCACAGACCTGACTGACCGTGATGTTACAGTTGGCTTCGGTGAAAGTAATGGACTCATAAGTCAGTCGAGGTCAGAGGTTCAGACGTTTACCTTCTGCCTTGGGAGCAGCAGGAAGTGAGCGTTTACATCGTACCACTAACATGTCCGTCAACCGTGTCTCAGCGGAGCCGTCCAGGGAGTTGTAGAATTTGACTTGTCCACCTTGTCCAGCACTTTCTCCACACGCTGTGCTTTTATTTTGTCTTGGCACTGGGTTCGTGTTCCCGCGTCTGTGTCTGTGTCTGTGTGTGAGTTAGTCAGTGGTGAGAGAACAGATGAGAGTCAGTTTGATGATCAAAATGTGGAAACATTTGAATGGGTTCTTAATTGTTTTAGCATGAAACGTTACAAACCTACTCTGATCAAAAGAATATTTCTTTTTTATTATTAATTCACACAAAAATCCTCTGTTGTTGCTGTTGACAAATTTGTTCTGTTGCTTTTTCTTGATATGACACAAATCCAACAGCGTTGACAGTCAAAACCCCAGAGAAAATACAGAATTTTTTTTTTTTACGTTTCCATCTGTGAACGTTGATCCAGCGGCAGCAGACACAAATATATGCACCGACTTAAATCCAAAAGCCTATGAGATATTTGGGTTTTATAGTGATTGACTGAACAGGTGACACTTCCATCCCTGAACGGCCTGAAGCGAGGCTAAAAATGAAAATCAGCTGAGATATTCTCAAGTCATTTTTTCCCCCCTGTTTGCTGTCACTCAGCCAAGTTTTTCTTTTTCTGTTTCCAAGTTTCACTATGAGAGCAGCCTGAGTGACAGTGACGTCTTTGACCTCCAGCCAGCAGGGGGAGAGCAGGATGACAGATTTGCACCTAAAGTCAAGGATGTTTGGCAACTCAAGTCTTTTGTTTTCATCAGTCATTTAGGTTTCAGGTGAATATGTGTGTTTTGTTTATTTACATTTTCTTTTGTGAATCGTGTTTTGTTCTGATCTCCTAGACGACGGGAAAACAAAGCTAAAGGTTTTGGTCGTTATTGTTTTTTTTTCCTCTGATAATTAAAACCTGATAACGCAATGTTTGCGTTTGCTCAGATGATGTGACCTAAGAATAGTTTTTAAATTAATTATTGTCATGACGTGTCCTCTGTCTTTAATCCAAACGGCTGCATATATCGGTTGATATCGGAATCGAACATTTAGTGTTTAGACGATATTGGCGTATCGGCAAAAAGTTAATATTGGACATCCCTACAGTGGGGCTGTCAAAATGTACACAGTAATTATAATATTTGCCTCCACTGCAGGAAAGAGTTTCCATTTCACTGAAACACCTCAAGCTGAAAATACCACCTCAAACACCCAGCATGTGTCTGCTGATTCCAAAGATTCCACCATTTTGATTGGTCAGAAATAATAAATGGTGTAAACACACACACACATACACTTTTTTTTTTTACAGTTAATCATGACTAATCGTGATTATTTACATGACCACAGTCTAATTAGGCCTGGGGTCGTGGGATGTGGGAAATAATCTTTAAACACGAACCCTGAGTTAATTTAGAGGAATTAGGCCTGGGGTCGTTGGATGTGGAAAATAATGAAACAAAAGATTTTTATTATTATTATTTATTTATTTTTTACTAATGAACATGAAACAGAAGAGTTTTATTATTATTATAAATTTATTTTTTACTTATGAACTCTATAAGAGATGACTCTCCACCTGTTACAGAATAAGGATTTGAACACAGAAACATCTGAGCTGACGTGAGTTTGATCGGTGAAAATTTGACCTTTTAATTATTTTTTTCATTCTAAAAATAAAGTTGCACTCCTCAAGTTTTAATTTTAAGTTCTAGTTTTGAATTGAAATTTTTATTTATTCTATCAATCCATGTGAAAACTGTCAAAGGAAACAAAAAGATGGAGATTCTTTATATTCTCACAAAAAAAAAACTGTGTGAGTTCACACAGTCCTTTGTTCACTGTCACGGTTGCCAGTTGAATACCGTTGCTCCTTTCATCAACATTCTAACCCGAGTCAATGTAATTAAAGAATATTTAACAAAATATTAAATGAATTAAAATGTCTTTAAGTTACATGACCTTCCTCTTCCTCCTCCTCCTCCTCCTCTTTTTCCTCACTCACTGCAAAAAACCTTCACTTTTTTTTTGTTGAGCAGATGTAAAAATGACAAGATGGAGTGAGGCCTGC